CATATACATATACATATACATATACATATACATATACATATACATATATATATATATATGGAGAGGACCTAGTTCAGAACCCTGAGGGTTTCCTGATCTCTCAAGTTCCTATGAGTCCTGGTCAGTTGGTTCTGTAGGCCTGTTTTCAAGGTGTGTTCCTGACTACTCTAGTTCCCCTGACCTCATATTTGGCTGTGGGACTCAGCATCTGATCCCATCAGTTGCTGAATGAAATCTCTTTGGTCTCTTATAATGATTATAATAGTCTCCAGTCCCAGTACACTCTACAGGCAGGACAAATTTTATGTTGAAAGTTTTGTGGCGGGGTTGTTGTCCCAAAGCCTCCACTTGAGGCCTTGCCTGGTTACAGGAGTTAGCCTGATCAGGCTCTGTGTCCCCCACTACTGGGATCTTTGCTAGAGCTACTCAAGTGTGTTTCAAAGATTTTCCATTGCAACATTTCCACCTGCCCCTGAAATAACTACTAGTTCCAGTTATTTCTCCCAGCATCACACCCATCTCTCTACTTCTTAATAAGCTTTCTGGACATAGAACAAAGCTTGCACAAGACCTCCTAAGCCCACTTTCCCATTCTTGTTTATCTATGACCCCCTGAACTTTCCTTCTCAGAACCCTGTCAAGGAATAACACCTGCTAGCTTATGCCAGAGATGATCTTTAGCTGGTTAGGGAGATGGTCTTGGATTGGCCTTTCTTTTTCAAAGATGTTAACATGACACATTCTGATTTCCATAGCCTCTCTCTGGAGCCTGCTCCCTCCATCCTTTTATTCCCTCTTTATCTGTTAGAATTTGTTGCTATTTTCAAAAATTCATAGTTGTGTAAACATTGATACAATTTCAACCCCACCCTTTGGAGTATAACTACTCACTCTTTATTTTTAACTGACTGTTAGATACATATTTCTAACATTACATATGATTTATTCACATTTCAGTGAGACTAACATTATAATGTGCACCAGCATGTCACTGTAGTAACTGCATGGAGGAGGCTCCGCATTCAGATAGACACTTGGTATCTGATGACACTGTGTGGAATATGGCTAATGTTTTCTAGCTGGGTGACCCAAAGTTACTTACAAACTTATTTCATGTCTTCTGGGAAAACATCAGAGACATATAGGAAGAAAACTTATTCTCTCTTTTTAAATTATGGATATGTGAACATCAACAATTGTATTTTTTTAAATAAAATAATGCCACTCAGGATTTTTGTCAGATTCAAACGTTAAGAATGTCCTACATTTTTTCTGATTCATATCAGCTTGTCTTTTGACATATATTTATCCTTTCCATTCTTCCTGCTTACAAGTTTCTATGTCTCTGGGTATACTGCTTAACTTCCTATTTTTGTGTTTTAGTAGCTATATTACAGAAATGAATTAAGTGTATGTTGGCATAAATACAATCAATTCTTTCAGAAAAGGTAGAAGTATCTATTGGATATTAATTTAGAACAAAAGCATTTGAAGAACTCTGAAGAATATAAAGCATTATAACAAATATGAAAATGATGAATCCAAATTTACATCCTTTACTTTACTCCCACATTTGATAACCCAAAATGGGTTTGACCAGAGAATTGTATCTTGATTGACTGGGTAACCTACCATAAAACAGTCTTCTGGCCTGGTGAGAGAAGGATACAATTTAAGCTATAATAAATTAATACACATATTAGTGTTTTCTTACTGGTTGTACTGATATGGTTAAATTTGTTTACCTCAGGTAAAAAGAACATGATTCCTGAGAACTTGCCAATGGGGATTTTGTTCTTTGCTCAAGCAGCTGTGGGGATCCTTGGCAATTGGTCAATTCTTCTTCATTATGTAATGTCTGTAATCACTGGAAAAAGGTTGATGTCCAAAGACCAGATTTTAAAGCATCTGACTTTAGCCAATGCCTTGGTTATTATCTCAAGAGTAATTCCTCACATAATGGTACAGCTGGGGTTGCAGTATCTCCTGGATGACCTCTTATGTAAACTTACTCTCTACAGCAATAGAGTGTCCCGGGGTGTTTCCCTACACTGCACCTGCCTCTTGAGTTGTTTCCAAGCAATCACAATCAACCTGAGCCACTCCAGGTGGATGAAATTTGCACACTCATTCTCCAAGTACACAATTCGGTTCTGCTCTCTTAGCTGGCTTGTGCATCTCCTTCTAAACATCAGGGCAGCTATACAAGTGATTGGATCAAACACTAACAAAAATTTCACCAGAAAAATCAAGTTGGGGTACTGTTCTGCATTCCCTTTCGGCAATAGTGTAACTGTACTACATCTATTCTTGCTTTGTTTCACTGATGGTCTGTGTTTGAGTCTCATGGTCTGGGCAAGTGTCACCATGGTGAGCATTCTCTATAGGCACAAGAGTCAGCTACAGTATATCCACAATCCCCAGCATTCCCTTAGAGTGTCCCCTGAGGACAAAGCCACAAAAACCATCTTGATCCTTGTGTGTACCTTTGTCTTCTCCTACTCAATGTCCTCAATACTAGTTATCTATACTGTCATATTTGACAATCCAAGGCTGTATCTAATAAACATATTTACATTCTTAGACACATGCTTCCCTACATTTTGCCCCTTCATTCTTATAAGTAATAACCAATCTACTCCCAAGAATCATTTTCCTTGCTGTAGCAGAAGGTAATTTAACACGTTGACTTGTGTGTTATGATAAATTTAAATGGTATTTCATTCATTATTGAACTTTGGACTCACTCATAGCCATGTTTTATTAAGCAAGTCCATCATGTAAATTAAGCATCATCAGCTGTTACAGCTATCATTATGCTGGATAAATAGTTCAACGATATTAAGATGTCTTTTTGTTTTTATTCAAAATGCTCTGGAATTAGGGGCCATCACACACTAAAGAATTTTTTATTGCCTTCGGACAGCCAAGGAGCTGTTGAGGTATAAAAATCTGTGCAGGCACCAGTTACAATCTTGTATCACTGCTGGAACTTAATAATACAGAAGAAGAGCAAAGAAAAATTCCACTGCATTTTATCTATTCACATTTAAGCTTCACCAATGTTTTGTCTCTGATCTCATGGTATGGCCTCATGGCCACACTTCAAGATACCTCTATAGGAAGAATAGTCAAGGAACACCTATTCTCAGTACCCATTGTTTTTCTCAGAGTTCCACTTGAAGTCAGAGACACTGCTAGCATCTCAATCCCACTGTGTGCTATTGCCATCTGCTACTCAGTTGCTTGGAAGCTATTATTCAGTATGAGAGTGTGAGACAATGCACAGCTGTGGAGAATAACCTCTACATTTGTGCAAATATTTCTCCATATGTTGTAACATCTTATCCATGAGTAAGGCCAGCTTTGTCTCCACACTCTTTCCTGTGCCATTGAAAAGATACATTTAAAGTCTCTCAATATGTCACATTTTCTGCTGATTCTCATTCATTAATATATCATATGTTTCTATATTCTTTATGCAAGTCTTCTTTATTCTGGACCAGATTGTATTAGATAACATGATGGTTAATGTTGATAGTCCACTTCACAGGATCTAGAATAACCTAAAACCAAACATCCCCATTGGGTTAATGGAGGTAGGAAGATTCAATCTAATTCTGCATAGCAACTAATCCATTGGTTGCGAGTCCTGGAATAAATACAATGAGGAAAACTGAGAATCAGCATGTATCTGACTCTGCTATCTGACTACAGATGCAAAGTGATCTGCTGCCCCAGCCTCCTGACTCTATTCCTTTCTTGCCACAATAGACTGTACCTTCAAACTGCAAGCTAAAATAAACCTTTCCCACCTTAAGTTGTTTTTCTTTTTTGTCACATAATGAGAAAATTAACAAAGATAAGTAATTCAATAGCTTCTTAAATTACACCGATAATATTATATAGGTCATCCTAGTGGCTAGAGCTTAAATTCAACTGGAGTTAACTTCTAAGAATATTTTTTGTCTCTTCGCATTACTATGACATGGATATTACAATACCTCCTGGCAGCTAATGGCAAATAATGCAATTTTTGAAGACTGTCAACTTAGGCTGATTCCCCAGGTCTTATAACATTATCTAGCATGGGGTCAATATTTTTCTAACTTACATGAATAAGACATGTTTAGAATTTCAGTATTGTATATCTATAAGGGAAAAAAAGCATCATAACCTAGAGAAGACAAATCTTTTTCTTCTCTGAAATAAAGGAAATTAGAATCTAAACAAGGACCAAGAACATTGAAATCAATGGCAATAAACAATTTTATTCAGTATAAAATTGAGAAGCTTCCTAACATGATTTGTAACATTTAAGTAGTTCTCATCTAATGATTTTCCTTCTTATACTTTTCCTTTTCACTAATTTATAAGTTTCTTGGGGAAAACTGAAGCCTTTGTTTGTATCTAAATAGTTGGATTATATGAAATAATTGGATGGGTTTTTGCGATTGTTTCCATTATTTCCCAGATAGCAAAAGTCTATATAAGATGAGTATCATTCAGAGAAGAAGTTGTCAAAAAATTCAAGACTGTCTCTTATAGTGTTGCAGGACAGTAATTATGCAACTTGCCAACTGAGACAGAAGGATTTCTGTGAATCTCAGGCAAGTCTAAAGAAGATAGTGAGCTTGAGACTATTCTAGGCTACTGTGTGAGACCCAAGCTACTCAAAACAACCAAACAAAATAGAACATTTAAAAATCACAACCACCACCAACAAAACTCTTTGAAAATTCAGAATTAAAAATTGACCTTTTTTTAAAAAAAAAAAAGGAGTTGGTAATACCATTGCTCTTGGTTACCCTCCAGAATATGACAGAGACAAGAAGCTGGTACAAATCTGGAAGCTTCATCTCTAATGGATAACTTTCACAATATAGGTGAGTTCTATTTATACTACTGGAGGAGTAATCATCAGACATACCCAGCAGTGACAGTGTACACTCTAACAATGACTGCCCTGGAAGTACATGCATACTTGTATAATAATGGCATAAACATCATGTGAACAACCAACCACTTTCAGATTGGATTTAATTCCTGCTCTGCATGCTTAAACCCATTCGTGGCATCATTAAGGCCATAAGAGAGAATCTATTACTTTTACTCTACTAAACCAACATAATACTAAACTGACTCCTAACAGCATGCCATGCCCATAGATTGATGCATCTCTCAGATAACCTTCTACTTGTTGACTAACTTGGAGACTCATAATAGTCAAAATGCAGAGAAGAAAAGACTTCATGATTATGCTTATCCTTAAACATATTGTCTCTATCACTTCCTCTCCTCAAAATATTCAGGAATCATTGCAGAAAAGAGAATGGGAAGATAGTAAGAACTAGAAGTGGTGGGTGGGTACAAGAAAATAGTGTTTTCTGTGTACAACAGAGCAGATGTATATGTGTACTCACAGTGGTTGTGACAGCATGCCCAATATCTGTGTAATCCCAAACCATACCAAATCTCTGCATGTAAAATGGAGGTTGACACTAAATTCTACCATAGCTGTGGAACTGTGATTCAAAACTCATGCAGGGTGCGGGGCAGATCATGCCCGTGCACCCGCACACAGAGGCCGTCCCGGGAACCACGGTTGTAGTGGAGAGAGAGAGCCCTGCAGACAGCTGGGCTGGGGAGAGCGAGGACCCAGTGCAGCTGGTGGCCTCGGCTGAGTCTCTGGGACAGCCCGCGAAGGTGCACAGGTGCATGGACTGCTGCTGCAGGGGGAGAGCTCTGTGGGCCGCTGGAACAGGGAGAGCTCCATGGGCTGCTGGAGCAGGGAGTGCAGGAAGGGCTTTCCCCACATGAGTTTCCCACTTACACAAAGAGAGTCCAGAGTCCCAGGAGACACGTGGAATTGGAGATTTTATTGCCATGATGATGTATCTGAATGGTGGTACTCTCCCACAAAATGCCAGGAGGGGCTTCCCTATATTGGAAGCGGGAGAGGGGCAAGGCTAAGGCCTTTAGGTAATATGTAAATCTTGAGGCAGAAACCTGTTTCACCGCCCTCTACCTGTGCCTTACATGACCCACTGCATGTTACATGGAGACCATGTGTTAGGTCTCTGGGTTCTGGGGGCGTGGCCAAACACTCCGGGATTTCCACAGCCCCACATGGAACTATTCACAATTGTTTGCTGTTGGGATAGGAAGAGAAACAATTTTCTCGAAGAGCATACTCCCTGGTAATCAGACAACACTCCTGAAATATAATGCATACAAGTAAATACATACGGACAACAACAATTGGTCTTGATATATCTATATATAAATCACAGAAAATTAGGTAGGGAATAGAGGGTGAAATTTGAAAGAATTGGGATAGGTGTGACTATGATCAAAGCAACTTATACAGAGAACTAATACAGATTTAAAAATATAAAGTTTAAACCAAGTTTTTTTTCTGTGATAGTATGAAAAAAGATAGATATTTTATTACATTGTATTGCTCATTTTCACTTAAAACTTTATCTTAGGTTTATAGAGAGGTCTCAATGTACTTTTCATATACAAAGTACACACATATACATCACTTGTGTTTGGAAAGTCATGTGTTGCCTCCACTTCACCATGTAATCTTCATCAAAGGTTTAAAACATGATTTCCATCTAGTTCTGATGTACATATGTAGATATGCTCATTCTTTTCATGCCTAAAGGCATGGACATGGTGGAGAGTTTCAGTAGCTCCTTCATGGAAGTCTCATGTCAAGTCACAATTTAGATATACTAAACTAACCTTAACTAAACTAACCAAGAGACAGAGAGACAGTATCCACATAAACAATATCAGAAGTGAAAATGGAGAGATAACAAGAGACAAACAAGAAATTCACAGAAGTATTGGGTCTTACTTCAAAAGCCTATACTCCCCAACACTGGAAAAAAATTACCAAAATGGAAGATTTTATAGACAGATACCACTTACCAAAGTTAAATCTCCATCAGGTAAACTAAACAGCCCAATAACCCAGCAATTAAAAGTCTCCCAACCAAAAATCAGAGGGCTGGATGGTTTTAGTGCAGAATGATACCAGACCATCAAGAAAGAGCTAATACTAATACTCAACTATTCCACAAAATAGAAACAGAAGAAACACTGTCAAACTCATTCTATGAAGCTATAGTCATACTGATACCTAAATCACACAAAGACTCAACAAAGAAAGAGTACCTCAGACTGATTTCTCTTATGAATATTGATTCAAAAAATACTCAATAAAGTACTCCCAAACCAAATCCAAGAACACGTCAAAAACATCATCCACCACGACCAAGTATCAACAGTATGGATGGATAGTTCAATACATGGAATTCTACCAACATAATTCACCATATAAACAAACTGAAAGAAAAAAATATGATCATATCATTCAATGCTTAAAAAAAAGCCTTTGACAAAATCAAACATCCCTTGTTAAAATCTTAGAGATTATGGATACAAGGTGCATACCTAAACATAATAAAAGCAATATACAGCAAGACAATAACTGACATCAAATTAAATGAAGAAAATTTTAATGCTATTCCATTAAAATCAGGGAAAAAAAAACATGGCTGCCCACTCTCTCCCTATCTAACCAATATACTACTTGGATTTCTAGCTAGAGCAATAAGACACCAAAAGAAGATTAAGAAGATACAAATTTGAAAGGAAGGAGT